GACAATCAATTAAACTTTCAAGTAGGCATGCTCAATTTAATGAAAAGCATAAACATTTCACTTCAAATCAGTCATGCTCGTGTAAAACGGGTTTAGTCCCGCCACCACTTCAAAAACAAATCAAAACATGCTTTTAAAAAAACTGTCCGATCATTACTATAAATTTACTTACCTCACTTGCATAAAACCGAACACTCGATCTCAGTGCTAACTTAAATTAAACAAAAACCCACTTAAATTAGTGCTTAAATCTCATCCTAAAGCTACTGGAATTATCCCCATTTTCTGCAGAATTTCGAACACACAAGGCAGCAAACAAAATGGACAATTTAAGCCTTAAAAGGCTGTCACATACCATAATTCTCCAGCTGTAGAAACCGAAGCTGCAGGGGGGAAGAGGCCGGCGGCGAGCTGCAGGGAAAGCTCACGGGTCTACCCAAAAATTGGAGAACCAAAGAGGAAATTAAGGTAAACCCAGGGCAATTCAAAGCTAGAGAAGGGAGATTCATGGCTGTTTCTTACCGGAAAATGCCCAGAATTCGCACCCACAACAAGAGCAGCCGGCGGACAGCAGAGGGAAGAGCAGAGCAGATCCGGAAGCTTCTTGCAGGGGGGAAAATTTCTCGCTTCCATTTTCAGTTCTAGAGCAAGAAAAGAAGGGAAAAATCAAGCTCTCTACCGGTTTTCCTCAAGGCTGGTGCCGGGTTCCCTCTTTTTTCTTCGGGTGGCTGCAGCGGGAAGAAATGAGAAGAAGAGCAGAATCGGGCTGGAGAAGAAGAAAGAAAGAAAGAAAAAGGAGAAAAAGAAAAGAAGTCATCCTTATCCAAAATCTTTTCCTCTTTAGGTCCCTTAACTTTCAAAATGTTGGCCATCAAGCCCCAAAACAATCTTTTCTCACAATCAAGTCCCTACCTTACACTTAACTATTCTAGCAAATTTTGGGGTATCACATCCACCCCTCCTAAAAAGGAGTTTTGTCCCCATAACTCAAATTGGGGATCATTTCAAGTGGTGAATGGCTTCACACAATCCAAGACAAACAAATGCTTTACCAACTCTCCATGAACAAGAAATAAAACTAGAGGCTGAGGTGACATGGGAAGCACAAGAAATAAAAATAAATCATGCCAAAGCCACAAAAGAACACTTATGGGGTTACGCTACGAACCCATCACAAGACGAGTTGACAAAGAATGGCATGGATTTAAAGACAAGTACAACAAAACTTTGAACTCTATCAAAGACGGATAAGCATCCAATGGATATATGGATCATGAATGAATGAACAAGTGCATGGATGCCTTATAAATTCTGCCACAACAAGGTTAACCAGTAAGATCATGTTTAACAAAACAACTGAAATCAAGAGACAGATTTTAGCAATTAACAATAGTTAAAAGCTAGGACTATCAAAAGACATGTAAGAATTTCCAAAATAGCATCAAAATGAAAACAATGGAAAATATGAATGCTTGGAAGAATACTGGAACATAAGAGTGCAAGGTAGAATGCCTCAAAAATTTAGCAACAAAATGGCATTCACCGAGAATCAAATTTAACCAAGCAATCAAAATTAAGAGACAAGAGTTACCATGAAACAAGCAATAGAATTCCAAAAATTAGGCCCACAAAAGAGATTTCAATAATGACAACCAGAACACGAATTCAAGAGTAAATATAATCAGGATGTCAAGATCAAACACCCCAAGTAACACGAATTAATTAACAGAATAATCAATAGTGGGGATTAGGATACTTCAAAGATTACCCCTTCACCTCGTAGCCCATGGAGGCTAAATAGATTTACAATCACGTCATCCTAGACATCCTAGAGTCAAGTCAAAGCTAAGACATCAAGGATACAGAGACTAACACTTGCAAGAGACAAGAATTAGGATGCCTTATATAGTTATTTTCCAATAATCATCACCCCTCCTAAGAGGTGTCCATATGAACAAAAATAAAAAATCGAGAAGATCATCATGTCTACCAAAACAAGAACTAGCAGAATATGCAAGATTTGAGCAAGAGCAGTATACCGAATTTGAACAAGAGCAGTATACAGAATTTGAGCAAGAACTAGTGTCAAAACAAGAACGTTTTCAAGGACAACTCAAACTAGATTCCAAAAACCAAATATCAACTGATTTTCAAGAATAGATTCCAAGAACAATATCAGTCAATTTTTCAAGAGTAGAATTCCAACAAGAATTAATTTTAGACAAGAATCAAAATAATGAGGATTTCAATAATCATTATCCATTTCTGGATTTCAGTTTCAAGAATAAGTACAAAGCAATATCAAGAAAGATTCAAGACGGATCTTAGGAGTTTCAAGCAATTTCCAAGCATCAAGAATGTAGAGATTGGCAACAATAGAAAGTTTAACTTTATGACAGCTTGCCAATCTTCACAAAAACTATGGCAATTTCAATTGAATGATCACTGCTCTTGATTAACCAATATAGAAAAATGAGCCACATGAAAAGACCATGAAGCTCCAAATGGAAAAAGTGAAATTTCACTATAAGACTTTCAGAAAGACAAGGAGCAACAAGATTACCAAGTCATCCAACTCCTAAAATGCATCTAGAAAACACACAACATTTGCTAAAATAGCCTTGAATCTCTTACAAAGTAGAGCGTTGCCCATCTTCCACTGGTCATGACAAACGGAGCAAATTTCTCCACCAGCTATGTGGTAGAGACCAACGAGATCAATAACAAAAGATCTCTGCAACTCCCCAAATTTTACAATGGTGGCAAAAGAGCATACAAAAATTCTATTCACGTAACAAGCCTAAACAAATGCTGAATATCAGAAAATGACCAAGTTTCAGAACAAGGTCTTAAGGACATAACGAGCAAGATTACTTTCACAACTTCACACAGAGTATGAAGGCAGGAAACAAGAACAATCTGATTACCATCTCATCAAAATGGATTAGAAAATTCAGGGAACATGAATTAAAATCGTCCCTTATATAACCCCATCACTCATCTCACCACAGTTCTAAAATCCACTGGCTAGCCAAGTCCAAAACAAATCCTAGGTATTCAATTAAATCTGAACTCCGATACCACTCAATCTGCTCCGATGCCACTCAATCTGGAGGTGCTTAATTTTATCTTAAGCTCTTAATTTAAACCTAAGCTCTGAATTTCAACCTAAGCTCTGATACCACTAAATCTGTCACACCCCAGAACCCAAATCCGGGGACACGACAGACGCCGTGCACTCGTGAGATGGGTCCCACAAATGCACAAGGCTCGGAACTTATCAAATTCACGCTCTGATACCACTAAATTTGTCACGCCCCAAAACCCAAATTCGAGACGTGGCAGCCTTGTGCATTTGTGGGACCCGTCTCATGAGTGCACGGCGTCTGCCATGTTTTGAATTTGGGTTTTGGGGCATGACAATTCTAATATAACAACATTTAAGAAGATAACTTTTCAAATTTTAAATTGAGTTTTAATTAAATAAAATAATATAATTTAAGGTTGATATTTCAATTATTTTTTAAAGTTGTTATTGATATGTACTTTTCTCAAATTTAAATATCAACATTTAATAAGATAACTTTTTAAATTTTGAGTTGAGTTTTAATTAAATAAATCGACGTTAATTAAGATTATAATTCTAATTATTTTTAGGAGTTGAGATTAATATGCACTTTTTTTATAGCTAATTCTATAGTTAACATGCCATGTGTAAGATTTTAGGCCTACAAGTTTATATGGTATTAAATAAATATAATGTGATATTAAACTAATAGACATATATAATATTATAAGTAAATTTTTGAA